ATCAAACAAATCTATTGGGGAAAAAATAAAGATAAAAAACATACAATAAGCAGGGGGCATAAGTATTCACCCCCTTAAACTAATACTATGTTAAAGCACTTTTGGATTTAATTACAGCATTCAGTCTTCTTGGGTAGGAATATATCAGCATGCCACATCTTGACTGACAATATTTGCCTACTTTTCCTTGCAAGCTCTCTAAGTCTGTCAGATTGTGATCATCTGATCATTTCCAAACTTTGCTAGCACACTTAGAGTATACCAATTCCTTGGCTACAAAACAACCAATAATACTGGCAAACAAGCGACTTTATTTTGGCTGTTGCCTGATAGTTAAACTTGTGTTTTGAATGGTTAGACATCATTAATTGTTCTCCTTTGCAGGCACACACAGGGCTGGACTGGCCATCTGGCGTACTGGGTAATGCCCGGTGGACCAACGCACATTTTTGGGCCGGCCCGGGGCTGTCGTAATTTACCCAAAGAAGTATATTATAAATAATTTTTATTGACCGTGACGTCCCATTGGTTGATTTTCTTGAAGGACATATAGTCCAATGAAATCTCTCAGTGCTCCTCAGCCCGCCCCTCCCTCCCCTTTTTAACCAAAGTTATCAAATTTTGCCATTTGAGCTGACCAGAGTTGGAGAGGAGTGGCTATGGACAAACCAAAAAAGTGAAAGGGGAGCGCAGAAAAGCTCAGAGAAAAGAGGCAAAAAAGCCTTCAAGTGGATGCAGCAAAATGTACAAAACTTACCGATATGTTTGCCACCACAAGTTCTACTGCTGCAGCAGCTGGTGCAGGGCCGGAGGAGGAGGCAGAATTAGCGATTCAGGGAGATACGTCAGAGGAGGAGGATGAGGAGAGAGACGTGGCCCAGGGAAAGATTGAGGAAGAGGTCAGATTAGCTACCAGCCCGGTTAAAAGTAGCCGAAATGTTAATGAAGAGGGATGTTTCATGTAGGGAGTGCAAAGGGCTAGAGTGTGTGTGTGTGTGAGTGTGTGTGTGTGTGTGCCCAGGGCTGGACTGGGACCAAAAAATGGCCCTGGCATTTTTTGGTCATGGCGGCCCATTATGATTATTTATACGATATGCGAAAGCACATGACATCCCAGAGGATATATGTGCACGTTGTGTGATTACAAAAATAAAGCGCAGCAGGAAGAGAGTAACCATGTTAAAAAATAACTGTAAGCTGAAACACCTGCAAACTATAACTTAATGGCAAGCTAAAATACCACTAAGTTGGACACCAAATCTACTCATAGCATTATTTAAAAATGAAGGCTATAAAGGCAATTCTCTCTCTCATACACATAGTTTCTGCACAAAACTGTAGTTTTGTACACAAATGACACATAACTCTATAAGCTAATATTATTATGCATGTTTTAAGTCTGATTGAACAAAATAAATCTTGTAATAATTTCCTATGTTGAGCATTTGCACACTTTTGGCCCAGATACTATTTAGTGAAAATATAATAATAAATTTTTTATCATTTAAAATTGTATTAATTCTAACTCGTCTAACTTTTTTCTTATTTTACGCTTTCTGTTTTAATTCACTATTATTATTGTGGTGAATTGATGAGACTGTCCGAGGGGGTATTCCATGAAGCAGGCTTAAGGGAAAGTCTGACTTATTTCGACAAGACAGTCTTACTTAAGTGAGAGTTCTGTTCCATCAATGTGTCTTAAATGAATCCCCGCTGAATTACCATGGTAATTTACACCTGCGAACAAGCCTGGTCCGGACCAGGCTAACTGTCTCAAGAGGGTCTAGCTGCAGACGCCTGTAGAGTGGAGCTCCACCCGAAATATGACACCTCCACAGGAAACACGTGATCAGTTGAGTTGAGGCCACATGTTTCCTGTGGAGGTGACGTATTTCCGGTGGAGCTCCACTCTACAGGCGTCTGCAGCTGGACCCTCTTGGGAAAGTCGGCTTTTTTTTAGCTACTTTCATGGAATACCCCCCCGGGAGCAATAAAGGGGGCGGTGTTTGATGTGAGGTGGGGAAATTAGCCACAGGTGAAGCCAATAACTAAGCGGGGGAGGGACATGCAGCTGAGTGTGATGATAAGAAGAAAAGTTGGAGACAAGGGAGGAGCGCCGGTGTTGCGAGAGGGGTCGATTGGTGCCGGTCGCGGTCAGTAGGATCGCTGCCGGTGAAGATAGGTAGTGGGTGAAATAGGTAGACGCCGCGCGGATTTAATAGGGCGACACTGTTGCCAGCGGGTTAGACTATTGTTGTTGCAGGAGGAAGTTGGTTCCCAGCCGTGTTTGATCCCTGGGGCTTAGCTGGTTAGACCCCGTGGGTGGGTCTGGTGGAAGGAAGGGAAGTGTCCTTTTTAAAGTTCTGTGTGTGTGTGTGTGCGTGTGTGTGTGTGTGTGTTTGTGTTTGTTTAGGATGGTCAGCCGTTAAGGGAGGGCTGGATGGAACGGGGTACGCTGCCGCCTCGGAGGGGCTACCTGGCTGATTGTACTGTGCTACTGGTCGGCTGAGTGGAGATGAACCAATTAAATAAAGTATTTGATCCTTAAATTGGTGGCATGTATCCCTTAGGCTTGCTGGTTGGGTAACCTGTGGGGAAGCGGGCTAGGATAGCTAAAAGCTATATCTTTAATACCCACAGAGGTTTTGTTTTATTATTATTATTAGTAGTAGTATTATTACACATATCCCAAAACATTGTTAACTCTGACTGTGTGCAAGCTTACAGCTTACAGTACATGTAGGCAACCCCCACCCCACCCCTCACACACACACACACACACACATACACACACACACACGTGGACTCTCATATACAGGTAGATACAAAGACAAAGCCACTCCCATAGCCACTTCTAACTTCCTTAAATAACCCCATAAGTTGGTGTTAAAAAAGAAACCAACTACTATTAAGGACGCAGAATCCTGTAAGTGCAGATGTTTGCCTAGAGTCACATTGAAGCTTCGTCTAATTCTTGTTCTCAGAACTCAATCTCAGCCCTCAGAGGTGAGTGTTTCTTTATATATGTGTGTGTGTGTGTATATATATATATATATATATAATGGTGTTACATGTTGCAATTCTAAATTAAATTTACCACTGAACCCTAAATCTGAATCAGTAGCATTAAGTTATGGTTCAGAATAGCACTGAAATGTTCTGTGAAGCATATCAGTCTGTCCATCTTCTATCCATTTATTCTGGTCAGAGTTACAGGAGTGCTTGAGCCTGTCCCAGGCAGAACTGGGTATAAGGCTGGGGGGGTGGGTGACACCATGGATGGGATGGGACTACCCCACAGGGTACATACACAAATACAATCAGACACTGTGTATGATTTATAAACACCAATTAGTCTAAGTACAGTCAGCCCTCGTGCATACACTAGAGCCGCAAAAATTTCACTGGAACCGAACTTATTTGCATCCGCAAATTTTTTTGCACGTCTGCGAAATCCTCGAAAAACCCTACAGAAATGTTTGTTTATTTTTCGTACTAATTTATAAGTTTTCATGCTTTTAAGTGTAAAATTGGTAAGAAAAGAATAGTTAGTGATGATTCTACTCTGTTTTTGGGGAAAGTTCAAGACATACAATATAAATCAGTTTAAAAATCCCTTAAAACGTGGATTTCTTATGGAAACGTTCCTTTTTATGTAGGCCTACATACTGTACTGTACCTTTACAAGATGCGAATCCCATTCGCAAAGTTAATTCCCTTTGGATACATAAATATTAGAAAATAGTTAATTTACTATTTTGTAATAGTAAGTGCACATTAACGTAAATTCAAACCCAAACACTCCCACGAACCCCCACCCGAAGAGGGAGACTCTGAGGAGCTGTAACGCCTCATGTACGCTATGCAGTCATTTTCATATATTTTCACCGTACTGCACAGCTAATTCATAATCATCATTATCTTAAATCAATATTCATCATTGGTGAGTACCCATACTACTGTTTTTATTACATATTTTTAATGTGTGTATGTATTTTTGTTCTCTCTCTTTTCCGTGGTTAGTGCACACAGTATTTTTACAACTTATTTATGTACGTCCTTACGTAATTGTTTATTGATTAAATACCTGTACCCTGTACGTACACGGTACAGTACATGTTTCCTTTAGGTATTTTATTGAATTGTACTTTGGTTACGTATACGACTTTTGTCA